TAGGCCCCTATATGAAGTGTCAAGCATCCTCAGCCCTTAACCCTGCACCCTCAACACTAAGCCCTAAACCCTAAACCCTAAACCCCAAACCCTAAACCCTAAACCCTAAACCCCTGAACCCCTGAACCCCTCAACCCTAAACCCCAAAGCCCGACACCAAACAATGTCAGATCCACTCCGGCCCCACCTCGAGGCCAGGCACTGGCGAGTCGGCGAAGCGCCAGCCGCCACACCAGTAGCCGTAGAGCCCCCCTGAAGGTAACGTAGGGTGTAGGGTTCAGGGTAGAGCCCCCCTGAAGGTGATGTAGGGTGTAGGGTTCAGGGTAGAGCCCCCCGCCGAAAGTGATGTAGGGTGTAGGGTTTAGGGTTAAGGGTAGAGCCCTCCTTGGGGTGGTGTAGGGTTTTGAAGGATTCCTTTAAGGGTTCCTTTAAGGGCTACTACAAGGTCTACGATCTTGTCTCGGACTTCGGAGTCATACGGTCGAGGTAGTTCAGGGTTTAAATGTTTAGGGAGTTCAGGGGGTTCCTTTAAGTTTACTTTTCGGGGCTTCTCTCAGGGTGACTTTTACTCTGACGGGTGTCTCGGGCTTTGGAGTTTAAGTTTAGGATTTAGTATTAGGTAGCTTAGGATGTAAGGGTTTAGGGTATAGATGTTTTGAATTTGCGGAGTTTCGGGCCTCGGCAGGGTTCAGGATTTCGGGTTTGGGCTTTAGGGTTTGCTGTGATGTTGCGCTGCAGCAGCGGGTGCAACTATCGAGTGCTCGGTGCTCTCCGACATGCAGCCATGGCCCGACCGTGCAAGGCCACCACGAATGCTGTAGGGTTTAGGGGTTTAGGGTTTCGGGTTTAGGGCCCCTCCACGGCTGACCGAGATTGCACAAGAAGTTAAGGAAGACTAGAGGGACCCGAGACGGACCCAAAAGGTTCGATTTGTATCGTCCCGGTGCTTCCGCCGCTCGACCTCGATGGCGCAAGTCGACCCAATATGTCGACCCGCCTCCCCCATGGGGACGGTAGAACCCACGCTCCACGCAGTGCTGGAACAAATTAGTGCACGGGACCGTACTGGTCCCTTTAACAACCAGTTGCCGCCTAAACCCCAAGCTCTCTTCACCCGTCGAGATTCTGCAGTTAGGCCAGCAGATTTCAGGGCCACGGCAACCCTGCAGAAAACCTGACACCCAGGTCCTCACAGGACCCCAAACCACTTGCCAGAAGACCCGACGCCCACAAGAGTTTCTAGAAACCCCTCCTAAACCCAAAACCCCCCAAAAAAATCCCCAAGGCCCTGAATTTCTAGAAACCCCTCCTTAACCCAAACCCCCCCCCACCACAAAATAAAAATAAAATTAAAACAAAACAAAACAAAACAAGGCTTCGGACCTTCGGGTTTGTGACGCTTCGGTGGCCGATCGGGAACCTGGAAGCAAAATATCGGATAAGACTGGTTCAGGGTTGTAGGGCTGTTGGGGCTTTCGGGTTTGCGGGCTTAGGGTTTAAAGCTTGGGGGGTTTAGAGATTAGCTTTAGGATCGAACGGTTACTGTAGTTGCTTGGGGTCTGCTGCTTGAGCTTTGATCTTTAGGTGCGGCAAAAGGCCTCCGCGCCCCTTGTGGGTAATCGGGTGTCGGGTCGACTGTTTGGTGTGGTGCCTGGAACTGGGGGATCTGGATCTTGTCTCGGCTCCTGGCCTTTTCAGATTCAGGCCTGCTTCAACATGGAAATTCGGGAATCAGCAAAGAGAGATTCAGAGAGAGGTTCGGACTGGTCCTGTCCTCCTCGCAGCATTAGGTTCCGGAAAGAATCCAAGGGCTACAGTGGACCAAAGGCAGTAGCGATGCAGCTCAGCGATCATGGTAGTGGATGCGGTGGCGGTCGTGGTGGTGGTGGTGGTGGTGGTGGTGGTGCAGCAGAAGGAGCAGAAGCAGCAGCAGCAGCAGCATGTCCAAACCCGGGCCTGCGGGTACCAAAACGCTTCGAAAGGTTTGTTTAGGGTGGGGCTCCACACATAGATTCGGGACTATGACCAAGTCTTCTGACCCCTTTCTTACTTCAAGCAGCTCAGCATCCCACCTCCGGCATGCGAGGCAGGACGACGGGCGTCTCCAGGGTCAGATCTTGGCTGTGGAAGATGTAGTCGATGACCTCCTGCCTCCCCTCCTGAAAGTTTAGGGCATTCGAGTTGGCGGCCCTTCGGAAAGGAAGGGCATCTGTCGTTGTTGCTGCTGTGGTTACAAGTGTAGTAAGTTCTAGTAGCTGCAGCAGTTGTAGCTGTTGTAGCAGTTGTAGTCGTCGTCGTCGCGTCGTCTCAGTCGTGGTAGTAGTGGTCGTCGTCGTCGTCGTCGTCGTCGTCGTCGTCGTCGTCGCAGCCGCAGTCGCAGTCGCAGTCGCAGTCGCAGCCGCAGTTAGTCGTGGTCGTTGCCGTCGTCGTCGTGGTGGTCGTCGTCGTAGTAGTTGTAGCTGTAGTCGTCGTCGGAGTCGGATTCGTAGTCGTAGTCGTAGTCGCAGTCGTAGTCGTAGTGGTCGTCGCAGTAGTCAGTAATAGTACCCACGGCAATAAAATTCGCCAAAGCACCAGCAGCAACAGTGGCACAAACACTAAAAGGAGCAAACCAAGAACAACAAGAATGCAAGAATAGCAGAAGAAGGACAGATCCACAAGAAAGCTGGTCCTGCCAGTGCCATTCGGGTGGCTCGGAGCGCTGGCCCTCGCAGGGTCACAGCAGCACACGTTTGCGCCAAACCAGACCCTCGGGCGAAACCACAAGCTGCACCACCTCCGGAAGCCTTAAACTCTAAACCACCAAAGAAGCGAAGGCACCCTGGGAGCAGCGAACCAGTAGACATCCGGCTTCAGGGTGCTGAAGGAACCCTGGAAATACTCGCCACCAGCATGGCCGAAGCTCGCGTCACAGAGCTTCCTGCGGACTGGCCCTAGGTTGATAGGATCTTCCAGGGCTTAGGGGGCTTATGGGGTTTATGGGGTTTAGGGTTATATGGTTTAGGGTTTAGGGTTTAGGGTTTAGGGTTTAGGGTGTAGGGTTTATGGGGTTTAGGGTTATATGGTTTAGGGGTTGGTTTGGGGTGTCCGACCTTTCCCACAGTAGGACCCCACGAAAATGCCGTGACAGTCATGTCATGTCTGCTGCAATGGCACTCACATGCTCATTAGACTCCCAGGCATGGCAACTCTTAGCAGGCCTGTGACACCAAAAAAAATCCGCGCCAATGCCATCCTAGCCCCCCAATTTGTCATGTGCTCCCACGCCAGTACTCCCATGCAAAACGCATCCGATCCCTTGCTCCGATGTCTGGTCAAACTGCTTCCCTAAACCCTAAACCCTAAACCCCTAAACCCCTAAGCCCCTAAACCCTAAACCCCAAGCCCTAAACCGCTTCTCCTTGTGATCAGCTTGTAGGCCTCGGACCCGGGCAGCGAGTTCAGGTCTGCACAGAACACCACCGCGGGCCTGCTTTTAAGGAAGGGTTCACCCGGGAAGTAGGGGGTTTAGGGTTTAGGGTAGGGGGTTTAGGGTTCCTTTAAGGGTTCCTATAAGGGATCCTATAAGGGTTCCTTTAAGGGTTCCTTTAAGGGATCTATAAGGTGTATAGGGTTTCGGTTCCGGGCAAGTAGGCATCGTGTCTCGTCGCGACCTTTGGGGTGTCTTGGTGATGCACCTCTTTACCAAGGGGGGGCTTAGGGTTTAGGGCTTAGGGTTTAGGGTTCAGGGTTTAGGGTTTAGGGTTCAGGGTTTAGGGTTTAGGGTTCTCAATCAGGCTAAAAGGCCCCGACGGCAATCCAAAATCCCATGAGACCATGGGTGGATTCTCGTTGGCTTTGGTGGAAAAGAATCAGCACTAGTGACTTACCAGTGTGTGCTAGTGCCGTTGTCGTATCTAGATTTCTGTCTTGTGATTTTGTCTGACTTGCGGCTCGGAGGCTCTGTGATTTTGGTAATATTTAGGCCTCATGGGACAGACTGTAGAACGTACATTTCCGAGAAGATTCAGGCTACAATTGCAAACCTAGTGTTTATGATAGGGCTTTCGGGCGCCTGGAAAGTCCGCGCTTGAAATGCAAAAACCCTCAATTATCCCATCCCGAATCCAGAACCTTAAACCCTGAAACCCCAAGCCCCGAACCTTGAATGCAAAGCCAGAAACATCAAACCGTAAACCGCTAGGGTTGAGGCTTGAAACGCTCAGTGTCAAGAGTGGAAGGGCAAAGCAGCTTGGGAGTTATTGACCAAGGAACGAAGTCCATAGCACATCCCCTTAAAGTGGCCCTTTACTAGTAGTACACGCACGATAGCATGCCCCAAAGCCCTATCCTGCAGCCAACTCGACATCTTCTCAAGCGAGCCTTCGCCCAGACTCCAGGGCGCAACCCTTCATCATGTCTTCGATCAGCTCCACAAGCTCCTGGAGGCTCGAGATCCCAACTTCACGCTGGAGAAGAAGCCATACAACCAGCCTCCAAAGCTTGTGCTAATAGTAATGATGATAATACTAACGATAATAGTAGTAATACTAGTAATGATCCAACAGCCAGCTTCCTCTCTTCCTCTCACCCCCGCCCTCCAGGCTTCTGCACCTGGGCCTCGGAAGTCTGATGCCCAGACGCCTGCGTGGTTGCGGCGGGGGTCGTCTCAAGCATGTGCATCAGCGGCAGCAGCATCTGCATCGGCAACCACCATCAAGAACACAATCATCATCATCATCTTCTTCTTCTTCATCATCATCATCATCATAATCTTAGTCTTCTTCCTCGTCGGCAACAACATCATCAAATAACATGCCACACCCACACACACCACGGTCATCGTGATATCCATGCGCATCATGCTGCATCAGGATCTCCTCTTCCAGATACAAACTGTCTGTTGCTCATCAAATCCAAGCATGAAAGCTGCATCCCCGCCGAGCAGATCCCCAAAACCAAACCAACAGGCTCTCTAACCTCCCAAAGCCCACAAAGTCTAGCAACCCATAGTATATTACATCCTCCTTATATTGTATTATATCAGTTCGAAGAGGCTCCGGGACACTCGGAAGAAACTCCTACATCCATCCATCTTCGCCAGTAAACCTACTAAACACATATCACATAACCTCCAGAGACCCCCGGCCCAAAACGGAAAACGAAGCCTAAACAGACCTGAGCCCTCAAACCCAGATTCCAAAAACTCCCCAAAAAAACTGACCCAAAAACAAACGCCCGGAGCCTCAAACCGAAAGCCCTACTACCGCCCACACCTGATCCCAGTAGAGGTGGCTCGAGAGGACCAGGAGGTGCTCCGCGGAGCTCCGATGGAGCAGGAGCTGGCATTAATGATAGTAATAATATTAATGATAGTAATAACTTAATTATAGTAGCAATAGTAATAATATCAATAATATGAAGAATAGTACAAGGGCTGGGATTTTTTCAGCTTCGCTTGGGTTCCTCTTTAGGGTCTCAGGGTTTGGAGGTTTGGAGGTTTTAGGGGTTAGGGTTTGGAGGCTTGGGGTTTAGGGGCTTCGGGGGCTTCGGATTCGGGGTTTGAGGGCTTTTTGGCTGGGTTTTGCTTCGGTTTGCGATTCGGGGTGGAGGGTTTAGGGCGTTTAGGGCATTCTTTTGAAGTGCACTAGCCCCTTTCTCCGTTTAGGCTTTGGGACTCTTGCAACCGGTTTCGCTAGATATTTTGTAGACGTTTACCAGGGAGTTCCTTTATCACGTCCCTGCAGAAACAGGAGGAAGAGGACAGAGGTGGATGAAGCCGACAATGAGGTCAGGGATCTTGCTCTGATTTCGGCCGTGGGATGGCAACCATTTGCTAGGATTCGTACAGAAACCAAAAGTTCAAGGCGGCCTGCAGGGAAAAATCTTTATGGGTGCGGAGTCTCTGTCCTCTCTGTGCAGCTGCATCTCTGCATCATAGCATCCCAAAAGCCCGTCAAAAGGCCAAGCTGGGGGTTTCGGCCACTGCGAGGGCCCGCAAAGCTTGGAAGATTCAACCACTTCAGGTTTTAGCCATGGATTTTGAGTTCCCATTTTCATCCACACGCACACCTCTGGAACAGGATTTAGGACTAAGGCCTAGTTTATGCGCACAGGGCACTCGGGGAGAAAACGCTTCGGCTTTGGATCCTTTTGTCCTTGACGTGGGTGATGCCTTCTTTCCCCGCTTTGGCGGCATCTTGTTTGCCCTAAGCCCTGAACCCTAAACCCTAAACCCTAAACTTGTTTGCCCTAAGCCCTGAACCCTATGACCTTACACTGCACCTCGGAGGATGAGTGGCAGCGTGGCGCCAAGGACAAAGCACCCGCGGCCCGAAGAGCCCCAAAGACCCGGAAGCCAACTCTCCAGGCCCGCTCACCTGCCCCAGAGCAATGCGATCGTTCGCAGGTTGGGCCTCGGATCCCAAGAAAGGCTCTTTGGCTGTTTGGTTTAGGGCGCTTTGGGGCCTAAGGGTTTTAGGGCTCAGCAGCAAGGGATGTTTGGGATTCAGTGGTCGGATCTTAGGGGTTGGATGGGAGTAGGGTGGTTTGTGGCTCAAGCTGTAAGGGCTGCAGCTGCTTTGTTGGGCGGTTTAGGGCTTCAAGTGGTTTCCGCTGTAGGGTCTCGGCTTTAGGATCTTGAGGCTTTGCGATTTAAGGGTTTAGGGGTTTAGAGCTCAGAGTTTAATGTTGAAGCTTCAGGGTTCAGGGTGTAGCGGTTTTGCATCATGTTGCTGATTGTCGTTATCCTCTTTGGGGCCCAACTCAACGAAAGTATGAACCAGAAAAAACAGATGGGGAGAATTTCAACTGTTGTGGCCGCAACTCCTTCAAACATCGTGGGTACTTATGGTGAAGATGAGTGACCACAAGCTCCGAACTTCGATCCAGCTACGCCATCTGCATCCTTCGAAAAACACTACGGCGATGGCCCCCCACGTTCGAGCGAAAACACCAAAAAACAAGGAGCAACACACACACACACACACACCCACACACACAAATAAACCCCACGACCCACGACCCGAAAAGCCCTCCTCCAAAAGAAGTCCAATTCTTTTGCCAGGGCGCATAAATCAAGGCCCGGCAGGGTCCAACCTGATACTTGGATTCAGAGGGCTCAAGAGTTCAGGGGGATGGGGGATAACTGGGATGTTAGAGTTTAAGGGTTTTACGGTGTGATTTTAGAGTTTCGGGCTTCCGAGATTTAGAATCGTGGTTTAGGCATCAAAAGCTCTAGGCTCCCGGTAACCGACAAAATGCTAATTCGTGAGTGTAATCAGAAGTCGCAGTTCCTGAGGCCGAATTCGACTCCGTGGCCTGTGATGAATAAGCTGCGATCATGAATTCAGAACCATCACCTATCCTGGCATCTGTGCATTCGGTTCGTCCCATCTGGACCGGAAGTAAAGACTAAACCTGAAAAAAAGAAGGGTTCTAGGCTTTCTGAACCCACAACAGGGCACTGCCTCATGCCTCAGCATTCCTGCAGACTCTGCCCAAACTCGAAGCACATCTATTCCCGTTCTTGGTCCGGCACGGCAGTGAATGCCTGGCGGTGCCAGTTCTGTAACAGTAGGCCAGTTTAGGCTTGCTGCTGGAAGCTCACAATTGCAAGTCTCTGACATGAACACCAATTCCAGAAAGCAAAACCTCGCAGAAGAACCTCCAGTTGATTTGTAGGGAACACGCGACAACCCGGTCTCAAGACAACACAAATGACCGGTCCTGAAGTCTGACCTAAACCCTAAACCCTAAACAATAAACCCTAAACCCCGAAAGCTTGAACCTGGCCACAAGCGCCCCCAGCCTCGCGGCGCCAGAAGATCCCGCAACCGTCGCCCTTCCGATCATCCGGCCGCTTTTGAAACACGGCCTTAAAGCGAACTTCGCGGTGCGTGATCTGTGCGGTTTAGGGTTTAGGGTTTAGGGTTTAGGGTTTAGGGTTTAAGGTAGGGGAGAGTGGGATCTGCGACGAAGATCTCACAAGTGCCAACTTCCTGTCAAACCGCATATGACATGCATAATCGTTGCCCTCCTATGGCAAGCGAAAAAGACGATAAGCCGAAGTTGCATTCCAGAAATTCGAATCCTCGAAGCCAAGCCAGCCCATCACGTCCCCGGCATCATAACCATCCTCTTCCAGGAGGTCGCGGAATCTCGGAGGTTTGGAAGCATGAATCGCTTGAGGGAGGCTTCGCTACTCCATCAGCAGGGTCGGACCACATCGAGGTTCATAAGAAGATGCTTCTTCGCAGGGTTCTGAATGAAAACGGCCATCTCCTACAAAAAATCGAACAGAAAGGGTGGACCAACAGACGGTGCTGGACTTTCATGAGACAAGCCACTAAGTCAGAGCACTGTTTCATCCCATTGGCTCTCCAAAAGTTGGCTTCCAACAGCCAAGTCGCTTTTGGTGAGGGATCCTGTGACAGGTACCCCCGAACGCCAAATCAAATTGCCCGACAGACGCGGGACTTTTAGTCATACGCGGAGTAGGCATAAACCTCAACCCCAAACCCCCTATTCGTTCCCCAAGTTCGAAGCCCAAGCCTCTTTAGCCCTGAACACGAAATCTAAACTTCTGAACACCCCAAAGCCCCATAAACTTTGAAACCATAAACCACAAAACCCTAAAACCCTGCAATCGCTACAGCTCCTCAATCCTTTTGAAAACAACTCTGACGGCGCTCGAAGCGCCCAAAGTTCGAGGCCCGAGCTCTGCGAAGCAGTCTAGTTCAACGAGACAGAGCACATCAGCGCCTGGCTGATTTTCTTCTGTGAGTTATTCGTCTGATGAATTTTCTATTCTTACTCTGGTTGTTGCTGTTCTCGTTCTTTCTGCATATCCTTGTGCCTCTTTACTTGCAGTCGTATGGCCTTCTTTTTAGTTTACAATTATTTATTCTTGATATTCTGAGTGTTCCTATTCTTTTGCTGCTCGTAGTCTTCTTCAGATGTTGACTACTACTACTACTACTACTACTACTACCACCACTACCACTACAAATACCCACTACCCAATACCCACTACCCACTACCACTACCACTACCGCTACCACTACCACTACCAACTACTACTACCACCACTACCAGCGCCAACACCACCACGACTACTGCGACTGCTACTTTCAGTTTGGGCGTGCCACGTACACCTTAATGCCCTTCGTTGTTGGCAGTTCTGGGCGCCCGGTTTCTACGACTTGCAAGCTCGGGAACCGGCGAAGAGCACGAATCTCCTGCAGGAGCACCTGCAAGCAGGTTTCTGGTTTTTGTACACGGAGAGCTAGATACCTAAGACCTAAGTTCGAGTAGATGATAGGCAGTGTCTACAGCACGGTGTGCTGACGGTGTAGAGCTTGCAAGAATCAAGGCTACTTGTTGGACGCAACGTGTCCAACCCAAGGGCAATCCAGTGACGACGGATTCTGCCGAAAGTGAGCTATCCCGGACGACATATATAATCCAAAATAACGATTCTAAGGCAGAACAACAATAGTAATAATGATAATAAAACCAATTTTACGATTAACGTTCAAACTAACTCATCATGTTGTTAAATACCAGAGTTGAAGCAAAAAGTAAATCTACAACCATTCTTATATCTAACAGGCATCAAAGTAATAATGCATAGCAAGGCCAATATTACGGTTAAGGCTCTTATATCTAGCAGGCATCAAGAGCAAGAGCCCCAGGAGCTGCCTGGCGGCGGTAGAACCTGGATTGCCTTAGGGGCGGAGAGGGCCCCGTGGCGCGAAGCTTCCAGAGCACAGACGTCGGATTTGAACGTAGAAATCTGAGGTTTAGAGGATGTTAGTAGTATGTTGATATACTAGAACAGTACTTGGTTTAGGGCATGTTAGGAATATGTTGATATACTAAACTAGTACTTTTATTGTCTGGGTTGAGGATTTCAGGGTGCCTCTTCAGGCTTGCCCCTTTTCGCAAAGGCCACTTGAGCCCTTCGCCCATCATCTGGCGACCACATCAAGTTCGGTGGAAAGCTCGGATCTGCCTGGGGCACACGGGATGTAGGGTCAGATGACAAGTAGGCCTTAACAGTTAGAATGGCGTTTTCCGGGTGATTGGGAGAGAGGAACAAAGTATACTACAGTATAATCATGCGAGAACTGGGAGTTTCCAAAAATTAGGGTACCTTATTTTGGGGTCCTTATATTAAGGATCCTATTATTTAGGGTACTATATTAGTGTCCCCTATTTTCGGAAACTCCCAACTCTACGGGGATGGTTGGTCGAGATAGTCCACGAGGCCTCAAACCATTTCCAGTTTGGGCCATCTCGAGCGAATCGCCTCTGTGAAGGCTGAAACACCAGCAACTTTGCGGCCTCGGTCAGCAACCCTAAACTCTGAACCCTAACAGCAGGGCTCTTCCCCTCGAAGGAAAACGCAACGCCTAATCTCGGCACGAAGCCTGAAAAATGACTCGGCATTTAGGAGCAGGACACAAAGTAAAAAGGCGGGATCCCCATCACAAAGCATAGATCCAGACTGGCCCCCAGCCCCTACACCCCTTCAAAGGACGGACGAATATAGGGGCCTTAGTAATTAGAACAGGGCTTAGGGATAGATTATACTATAGGTATAATCAGAAAACCCCAAAATCCGCTTTTAATTATTAAGGTACCTACATTAACTTCCAATAATCGAAGAGGAATGTCAGCGTTTTTACTCAGCCTGGCGCAGATGAAAGCTCAAGGAGCGCAGCGACGTTGACAAGAGCATTTTCGGGCTTATGGTTTAGGGCCAGTTTAGGGTTTAGGGTTTAGGGGTTTAGGTGTTGAAGACTCTGGGCATCAATGTCACGCCGATGGTCCTTGCAGGAACCGCGCATACGAGAGCAAGCAACCTTTAGCCAAGAAAGGATGCTGTCCCTGTCCCCTGACTAATGGTGGTCGATGTCTGAAGTACTGAAGTAACTTGAACTTATGTTGAAGTGCGCTCAGGGCAGATTATTCCCATGCCAGGATCAAAGGCAGAACATGGGCAGCAACGCCTTTTCGACGGCCACCGGTTGCCATCTGAGTCGCGGGCTTTTCGGAAGTCCCACTTTGAGGACGCAAACTGCGCCGGCCTGTAAGTTGAGCACAATTGCGCCCTGCAAGCTTTTGCCAACGATGACACCATTAGCCGAAGCTTCTGGTTCTTGGAGCAGCGTTTGCGTGCTTCGAGGGTAGACGCAGTCTTCACCGTTGCGGGTGCTGCTGTTGCGTAACTACACGATCAGCTGAAGTCCAGGCAGGAAATCTCTGGCATAATGGAACCTGGCAACACCCAAGCAATGTCAGCTGCAACAAAGAAATGACAGCAATCAAACAAGGCGCGTCCAGGTTACAATACGCTTAAGGTCCACATAGTAGCGATGTATTTGTTGGATTATCTATTGATTGAGTCGTACATTTGTTGGTCTATGAAGTCTTCTTCTGCTTACCGGCTTATTCATTCGTCTATGTATGTAGCTCGATATGAGCTTCGGCCACTGGCAGGGATTTCAGGTTCGTTGACTGTCGAATCAGAGGATACTATAGGGGCCTTAACGATTAGCCTTAGAATAGGGTTTTGGGATGTGTTATACCGTCATACCATAATTATAACAAGGAGCTCCCCAAAATAGTATAGGTAGCTATCAAGGCCCCTATATTACCCTGATCCCCATAGCAAGCTCGCCAGCCAGGCCACATGGTGCCTGCCATGTTCTTACCTCACAAGTCCAGCTGCAAGACTGCAATTCAACGGAATCGTCCCGAAGCAGATTTGGGAGTTTCCGAAAATTAGGGGTACCTTATTTTGGGGTCCTTATAATAGGGATCCTACTATTTAGGGTACTATATTAGGGTCCCCTGTTTTCGGAAACCCCCATTTGGGCTTTTCGGCGCGCTGGAAGCAGTTTTGGGCTTTTCGGCGTGCTGGGGGGCTTAGGGTTTGCAGGGTTTAGGGCCGCGTTGTTGAACAATCGGGCTCATTTGGGGCCCTGAAAGCACTTATTCAACTGGAGTACTTTGGTGCAAGTTTCAAGCCTGAATTGGGCCAAAACTTTCAGCAAGCCCCTCATGGCTTCGCAGGACGCGCATATTGAAGCCAAGTGGCCTAGAATGTTGAAGTGAGCGACGCGGAACCTCGAAGGATCTCGAAAACAGCTTGTCATGCTTCAACCGTGGGAGAGCCCGCCCAACCGTAATGTCTCAAAGGCCGCAACAGAGACGTGGCTTCATGTGCTGCCATGGACATAGTCGCACCAAGATTAGCCTTGACTGTGGCTGCGGCATGTCGACGTGGAAACGCCGACGGCCAGTTGGCAGTCTGTACAGTCCGCAAGTACGCCTTACAGTCTCTGACACTCGCGTCTGCCACTTGTTGCAGTCCGAAGCTGGAGGGGTTCGTGGCTAGGCGGTCTACGGTGGTGAGTCGGGCTTGCTGTGGCTGTTGGGCCGCATCTCGCTAGGCCCTCTCTGAGTTCTTGTCTGCAGAGGTCGCTGCGGCAATCTTGGGCATGTTCTTGAATGTAGACATCACGGAAAGACCTACACCCAAGAAGACTCTCATGCCGTACTAACTAACCCCCGTACAAAGTACTCACAGTCTGGAGAAGGGAGCCTGAAGCACGACGGAAGAGGGAGCAGAGGGAGAAGCACATACCGAGCCATGCTGCAGTAGATTGTGCTATCCTATATTGTCTGATATTATGCTAAACTACATCATAGTATGTTATATTGTGTTGTGTTTTGTTCTGTCATGCTATGCTATGTTAGACTAGACTAGACGAGACGAGACTAGACTAGTAGACTAGACCAGACTAGACCAGACTAGACCATTATATTCCACGATAGTATATTACTCTATACTCGAGTTTCATCATAACATAATACATCTTGATAAAACACGACAGCAATATCATGTAATAACATACTGTTTTATAATATAATACCATATACTATACTATACTATACTATACTATACTATACTATACTATACTATACTATACTATACTATAATATAAAATAATATAATATAATATAATATGATATGATATAATATAATATAATATAATAGAACAGAATAGAA